ACCACTCAGAACTGCAGTACATGGGGGCTTCATGTAGCTGCCCTTAAAATACATTCACGTGGTCTGTCCCAGCTTGGCCTCAAGTATCCTCCAGGCAACCTACTGCATGCTACACAAACATAAGAATTGGCCAAATTGCCAATTCAGCAAAGAGTAGGCTGAGGTGTAGGCTGTTAGTTATGGAGGATTTGCAAGAGCTGACAACATGCTTGAAAGAGCACAAGGCACTAAGGGAGACAAAGCCCAAACTCAGTGTGAAACTGTACCTGACTCCGATGTGTGTTTGTATAAGGCAGGCAGCTCTTGAGGACAGCGTAATGCTTTCATGTGTGTTTATACAGTGCCTAGCACAACAGAGTCCTAATCCAAACCGGAGCTCTTAAGTATCACAGTAATGCAAATTGAATAACACTAATAATATGCTTTCCCTCCGTGCTTACCAGGTCAGGCATGAGGGAAGGACCCTTGCTATCCTTGTGGAGAAGGACCAGGCCTTCACATGAAGCATCTCTAGGCTAACCTCAGCAAGCAAATTACGGTCCATCAGCTGAGCTGCGCTGCCTGACCTGCAATCATGTCCCCTCCCAAGAGGTGAAATATGTTAGTTTATACCCCAGAGAAAAGTTAATATAATTTATCTTGCATTTGCCCCAGCTAAAAGCACATTTGTGCAGTTACCAGGGTTCAGCTAACACTGGTATTTTAGCAAGCCACAGCAACTTGGCTCTGTCAGGGACTATAGGGCCTTTTTTTAGAAGACAGATTAAATGGAATTGGTAGAGAAAAGCTTTCTGCAGACATTTGCTGAAAGTGTTTTCCCCAGTACTTTATAAAATAGTCACTGCGAGCTGCTGTCACAAAAGTTAATGAAAATTTTAGAGCTTCTATCAACATATTTCTGACTCCAAAAGAAGGTATGTTTGATTCATTTCCATCTATTCTTTAATCCAGCATTATTAGCTGGCCCATTTCCCACAAGCAGAGGGCTGTACAGTAGGTAATCCTACAGACAGAAAGCCTGTGACAGAGTTCACCTCCTGCTACGAAACTGCGTTACAGTGAATGAAAGCTAAGGAGCTGCACGTGAGCATTCATTTCACCTCCTCCAGTTACAGGAGGCAGGGAAGAGTTATTAAAATAATTAAACATGCACATCTACATCATCAACTGATACCAAAACTTCACTAGAAATCTGACGAACAATACTTGACCACTCACTCGACTGACAGACCTTCAAAAATAATACCACTGTCAGAAAAACATAATTAGATACATTATTCCCAAGTAATACAGAAAATAATATGCATAAAACAAATGTGCAGCATTCAGATAATTGCATCCAACAGATGTCTTCAGTTAGCTGTTCATGTAAGAGGGATAGCATTTGAGAAGAAGAGGCTCCAGATCTTGTACAAGATCAGCATTGTGCCTTTTAGCACTGCGAAGTTTTAAATAGAGAGGCTTAAGAAGGGAAGAAAGATTGTAATTTTGCTTATCAGTTACAGCTTTTTGAAGGTAAATGTTGGGAAAGATGAGCAATACCAGGGTAAGATTAAAAGTATGTATTTTCGTAGGATATTTTTGATAAGTTCTCTAGGTAAATGCACTGGGTAATGGTCTCTTTCATATTGTAACAGTATCCTCAGTGGGATTTGCTTCCTTGTCTGCTTTCGGTCCCCTCCCCCCAACACTGTGAAATGAGAAATGCGGTGTTTTTAATGACTGGAGCAGGAGGAATCTTGTTATTGTGGCTGCATCAGCCCTCCAGGACACAGTTCAGTAGAAGTTGTCATGTGGCTGAGCAGAAACGATGAATGCAGGTTTTATGAAGTTCATTCCCCAAATACAAAGGAACAGGAGAGAAAAGCTCACCACATTCATAGCTACAGGCTGTGAGAGTACACAGTTCACAGCCTGAGCTCTACATTGATCACTGTCAAGCTCCTGGGCTGCAATGCACCTGCAAGCTCTTCTCCACTCCCTGAGCAGCAAGCCTTTACCTGCACTCCTACCTCCATTCACAGCATCCCCTCCTTTCTCATCCCTCTTCTTTTCTAGCTGAAGGCATTCAGTTCTTTAGCATCCCTCTGATACCTAGCTTGTGTCTAAGGAGGACTAAATCACCCTTCTGCTTAGAGGCAAGTGGATATTCACAAGTTAATACCCCCACACTTGTTTCTTCACAGCCCTGGTGCCCACTGGCTCCCTTACCCTGAGTATTGCATCATTTCCTGTTTGCTTCCAGCAGCCTCCTTTGATTTGACTCTGTGCCATTATATAGGCTAATATCAAACAGGTGGAAGAGGTAAACATTAAAAAAACCAACAACATGACATGTCCTTCCTCTCCTCAATGGGCACGATGATATTATCAGGAAATGGGTAACAGCTGCAGGTGCTTAGAAATGAACTGCATGTATAGGAACGTCTGGAGCTTGTGCATTCAAAACACACAGGCAGATAATATTTACTGTGAACGGGTTATTTTAAATGGGTAGCGCTAATACAAAGTGTCCTTCAGAAAACACCCTATGCACACACACCTGCTGTAACAGCAGCCATCTTGCACTGACCCAGCCCCCTGAAATGAAGGCCTCAGGGCTGCCAGGCTGGCTCCCCAGCGATGGTGTGGTGCAGCAAGGGGGAACCGGCCAGCACAGCCCCCAACACACACAGCACCACAGGGCTGGACCATGGGCCTCACCACCACGTCCTCAGCTGTGACCTTATCCTGGTCTCACCCCTGTGTGTATCTCTCTGTGGGATTTTGGGGCTCGGTTGCAGAAAGGAAGTGGCGGTACTGAGGAAAAGCAAATGCTGTCCTGCTGTGGTTGGTCTGTATGTGTACCTGTGTCTGCATGTGCTGGTCCAATCTGACCATTTGAGGCTCACGAATGCATCAAATGCTCGGCCTTTGGTTAGGCACTTGGCTTAACAATTTTGCTGGATCCATGTGCTGGATCATTTCGTTTGTTGACATATACGTGACAATAACTGAAGACACTTTCTTCCCTAGGAGGAAGGCAAGCAGGGCATGGTGATCTCAGAAGTTGCTCCCTTAGCTCTACTTGTTCACTTAAGTCTAGGAAACTGTATCCCTGAGCCCATTTCACCAGCTTTCACTGGAAATCAGTCTCATTGTCAGCTGTCAATAACTCACTCTACTTACTGCTCTCAGCTTCTCACAGGAGGACATAGCAGAACATAAGCTGGCTAAGGGTACTGGGTGATATCAGCAATTCTTAAGCCAAAGGGTATAATGGGGCTTTCCCTAGACAGTGACAAGCTTTGGATTTCCTACAGAAACGGGTGACTGTGCCTGTGTCTGTTTGTGCCTGCTGCATTGCAGCCTCTCCCCCTCATCTCCTCCGCAGGTCTGGCTCCCCCGTCCCAGCCCCAGCCCCAGCAGTGGTGGAGCTGAGTGGCTGTGGGCACTTGATGCTGATTAAATTCTGCTGACTGAGGAAGTTGTCAAATTCTACCCAAAGCAGAGAGCCGCCAAGGAAAAGCTGCTTTTCTTTGCTTTTGACAGCTGGAGCCATGAATTTAACAGAGGTCTCACCTTCAGGCAAGTCAACAGCTGGGCAGGGAGCAGTCTTTCTTAAAGAGAGAGTGTGCTGTATTTTCTGGAGTTCAGTGCCAGGAGGTGAACAAGTTGAAGTGCAAGAGAACATTTATGTAAAAACCCAGGTGCAGCTGGGGGTTTTGTTGTTGTATTTTTCTTTTACTAGAGAAGGACCAAGAAACAAACAAGAAAGAGGAAATGAAAACACAGTCTTAATTCCTGCTTTCAGTGTTTCTCGTCTTCCATTTCCCCTGCAGTACATACAAGGAGACACAGCACGGGAAGTTCCCATACCCCTTTCCCTAAAAAGACCACACACTCCGTCATAACTACTTTTATATTCATGAACCAGTCATGCTTCAGGAATCAGTGGCTCTGTTGACCAGAAATGGGGTCTGTAAGATCCTTCCCTGTTTTTAAACCTCTCTGTGCATGGGAGCCATCCGAAGGTCTTACTGCTGAGGAACCGTACACTTGCCTTTGTGACATGACACCTGCGGGCTCAGTTCAGTGGGCAGTGGATGGAAGTTCCCATGACAAAATGCCACTGCCCTAACTAAATGCCCATCACGGCAGTTATTACTGGCAGGATTATCTAGAAGACTGAGGACTGAATGGTACCAAAATATCATTAGACTTCACTCCCACACTACACTTGCAGCGCTTAAAAGAGGAACTTTGTCAGTGCAGGGTCAGGGTTTGTAGTACCGGATTTTCAGCCCCATGGAGCAGAAGCCGGGACCCTGAGGAGCTTCAGGTCTTCTAGGAGGCAGGGACAGACACAGCTCTGATCTAACTGCAGTGGGAAATGTGTACTGCACAGTTACATGGCCACTGTCACATCACATAATTCATGTGTGTGCTATATTAGCAGGTGCAACTCTCCAAAAGTGTGAAATGCAGCAAAGCCTTGCTGTTGCCCTTTCCTACCATGCCCCATAAAGCCACAGCTGCCTAGAGTACTCTAGTGCCTACATGATATTTGGGGGTACTCCCAAGCTGTCTTATCGGAAAGACAACTTTAGGAAGAATTAGAAGTGAATTAGAAGAAAAAGAAAGTACATGCCTGTTAGTTTGCACTCAGGTGGTAAGGGACATCCTGGACTTCTCATGGTGATGATCTCAGGGACGTTTAGGTACAATAAACAATATTGCAATAGCTGTTTACTGCAAAATGCAGAAGCAATCCTGAAGCAGGGTGAGGAAGGCAAGGCTCTGTCTAGTGAGTGCCCTAACCAGTAGGCATCATAGCCATAACCACTCTTCTCTCTGACAAAGTGAATTCAATTTTATTTCCCTCTCCTGCTGGAAGACCTACAAGAGGAGAAATGTCCCATCCCAATCTCACCCCTAATCACTATAATACTTTCTAGGGAGTTGGGAAATGTGAATTTCAAGCCCTTCAGAAGGGGATTATGACCATCCCTGCAGCACCTTGGAAACAGGAAATGAGAGCAGGACAGCAGCCCCCTTGGTTAGGTTGGAAGAAGTCCTGGTGGATTGAACCATGTTTAAGACTGTCACTTACTTTGTGGCATCTATTGTATACCCTGGGGAGACTGGTGCGACTGCAAAGCAAGGATTATCATCATCAACACTTGTTGCTTTGAGGTAAAAAAAAAACCCAAACCAAACCAAAGCAGCAGCCATCATCATCCACCCCAAGAGAGAAAAGGTGAGAAGGGCAGAGAGGAGAAATGCTTTGCATCTGGGTCTACCCCACACTGAAGGAGTAGAAGTCACACTTCTCAGATCTATGGATGCTGAAGTGCTATTAAGCATATGTAGATACAGAGCTTTAAGAGAGCTTAAATAGGATTTCTTTTTTTTGATGTTACGACTTGAAGATGATTTAAGTAGTGGCTGAGGTTATCAAAGTTAAAATTTAAGGTACAGGAACCAAAACTCTACCGGGCCCCAGCCTTAATATAGGTAGGCCTTCTTTGGATTTAGCCTGATCCATTCAAGCAATTTTTCCTGAAATGTTTCATCTTCACTTTAGCTTCACCAGTGTTAGGAGAAATAGAAGCTCTTGAAGGTGACTGTGGATGTATTGTCTTGTTTATCAGACAGACAGGGTAAACAGAAAAAGAAAACCAAAAAAACTTTCATAACTATTTTGTAATGATGACACAGAGGGAAGGTAAATTTCCACTTCTGCCATCATTCCAACTACCTACAACCCTAAACCTTTTCTGAAACTTGTGCCAAATCAAAGCTTTCAAAAGTCTGTAAGTGCAAAGGCAAATCTGGAAAACCTGCAGGAGTTATATTTTAAGTAGAATTGAAAGAGGCTACTTTCCGCTCTGCTTGAAAGCAAGGAGACATGGAAATCTGGTGCCAGACTTCTTTCTTACTAGGTTTTCTGCCTAGTTTTACAGCCTCTTACTGTTCAGGTGGGGCTCAGTAAGAGCAGAAATTTGCATGACTAAATATTTTTCTGAATCCCGTTTTTCAATGCTTAAGGAGCATCCACCATCACCGTCTCAAGTAAGAAAGATCCTGGGTACGGTCAAAACCAGCCAAACACATGAAATGAAACAGCATGGTTTGTTGTGAGTATTGCAGCTCGAACTGCCAGCTCTGTGATTATAGAAGAGAAACTTCACCATCAGCACATCGTGACATTTTTGGTGTGATGCGTGATGAAGTGTGGGTGGATTGCAATGCCACATGTTTTTATTTCAGTGTATTATCATCATCAGGGTTTACTGAAGCGTTGCTGTGTTTCAGCAGAACATCATTATCTCCTGCCACAGCTTCAGCTCAGCCAATCATACTAGGGTCACAGATATTAACTGTATTAAAAAAAATCTGCTTTGCCTACATTTGCATCTTAATATTCCAGCAAACCATATAACTGGAAGCAATTTCATAGAACGTGATTTTAAAATGCAGTTTACGTATACATTCATACTAGAGGCCTGATTCTCACTTCATGCGTTTCAGAGAAAGGAAACATGCCTTGTTACTTTAGCAAATAATCATGCAGTTTCAATTTCAGACTACGATTCAGACAACAATTGTAATTAAAGAATACAGTGGAAGAATCAAAACAGTCAGTTTTCCTCTCAAAGGATAAAACTCTTCTAAAACGTATCAATTATGAATTATTCTTCTAATTCCCAGGTACCTTATGGACATAAAGAATGATTCTGCTGCAACTTTTTATCAAGGGCACATGTAAATAATGTTATGAGCTTGTCACAAAAGATGGATCTGATTTTTAAATACTGGGGTAAATACCAACTATGCCTTCGAGTTACAAAGCTTTAACACTAATTGAAGTCTTTGGATGAAAGCTTTCCCTGCCACATTGAAAATATGGGCCACATGATGCACAAACTTAGCTGAATTTGAAAGAGAGTCCAGAATATTTAGCCTATAGTCATTGAAGCTAGGATCTGTTAAGCACAGTTATGTGTTCATTGTGATAATAGTTTCCCACACAGGCTGTTGCCTGGAACTGTGCTGATATTATTTTATCCACATGAAGGACCTCTGTGTCCCTATTACCAGGAAATAGTTAATATTCTTTCCCACTGGGGCCCACATGCACCTGCACAACTGTGGTGTGTGGTTTCTTCTTGCAGCTGCATCTGTGTCTGTGCTGCTGCCTGCGTAGAGGTTTTTAAAGTGTAAATGGAGAGCTGGTGAGGCTACCCTTCAGTGGTAACAGAGCCTCAAGGGCTGCTGCAGAAGCAGCAAAACCACTCTCCAAGTAAAGAAGCAGTTTCAGCAAAGCCTGTTTCTCAGCTGTTGGTATTCTATCCCATCTCACTCTGGAAAATTCAATGCATATGATAAATCATAGAATGAATCACAGAATCATAGAATAGTTAGGGTTGGAAAAGACTTTAAGATCATCTTGTTCCAACCCTCCTGCCATGGGCAGGGACACCTCACACTAAACCATGTCACCCAAGGCTCTGTCCACCCTGGCCTAGAATACCACCAGGGATGGAGTATTCACAACTTCCCTGGGCACCCCATTCCAGTGCTTCACCACCCTTACAGTAAAGAACTTCCTCCTTATATCTAACCTGAACTTCCCTTTTTTAAGTTTGAACCTGTTACCCTTTGTCCTATCGCTACAATCCATGTTGAAGAGTCCCTCCTCAGCATCCCTATAGGCCCCCTGCAGATACTGGAAGGCTGCTATGAGGTCTCCACGCAGACTTCTCTTCTCCAGGTTGAACAGCCCCAACTTTCTCAGCCTGTATTTTCTCATAAGGGAGGTGCTCCAGACCCTCATGGCACTCCTCTGGACTTGCTCCAAGAAGCTCCATGTCCTTCTTATGTTGAATTAATGATGTATCCTCACAATGCCATTGTGGAGTTGCTCTCTATTACTATCTTGATTTTTCCAGAGAAAGAAAATGAGGCTGTGAGACCTTAACTAATTTGCCTAAGGTCACTGAGAACAAGACTGGCAGATCCAGATAGATAGATACATAATGCAGACCTTTCCCAGCACTCTGGTTTGGCTGCACAGCCAGTCTGTTGCTCCCTTAGTTTGCTATCTGAATTCCTTGAGCAAAAGGAGGACTATTTTTGTCCCAATTGTTAAAACCCATCGTTCACAATGTCTGCTCCTTCTCAGGAATGAGAAGATTATGGGGGTCAGTAGTCAGAAGAGAGAGTTATCAGCTAGCCCTGGGCTCCACGAGCGGTGATTAGGATCATCTGTTATTAACTGCAGATGCATGCTCTGGAGCAGAAGTGCTCAATTCTCCTCTGCATTTCAGATCTGTCTGGTGTGAGAGTGATATATGGGAGGGAAGAGATTGTGTTTGCTGATTCTACAAGGTGGTGTGATTTAGAGGAGCTAGATGGTTGTTTCACTCTATTCCCAGCATGTGATCCCCTTAAGGCTCATATACCACTGAAGGATCGCCAGAGCCAAAGGACTGCTCAGCCTTTGCACTCCCGTTTTGCACTGTTCCTTCCCCCAGCATGCTCCTCATCGTGTGGTGGGAGAGCGACGATTGGCATACGAGCCAAATCCCTGCCTTTGGGCTGATGGAGATTTTTCTCCTCCAGGCAATATTTTTAAGCCAACGATATTTTTTTTTTTTAAGAGAGTGTGTGCTGTTATCTTTAAGTTTATAACTTTCTGAAAAGAAAAGGAGATTTATAGGAAGAAAATGAGAGTGCATATGTGCACCTTATCATGCAAGACAAGCCGACAAACATAGCTATACAAAGAATTACTGCATGTGGTTGTTGGTGCGTGGTTGCACAGGGAATTTTACTTGGTGTTCACACACAAAGCTGCTAATTTCAAGCAAAACGACTACCAAGGTGAGAGATCATGTAAGTGGAAAGAGATGCTGGCTGTGTTCTCTGTGTGTACCTTTTGGTGTGAAAATTCTCCCTGTCTGCTCTAACAGTAGTTGTATTTAGGTTAAAAACACAAAATGTCTCAGCATAAATCACTGAGGTTTTTCTTTCTTTGGGAGATTTGGTTTTCCCCCTCTCCCCTGCTTCTTCGGTTTTTTTTTTTATTTAACCTAAAATAAAAGTCTCCTGATTTTTATTTTTTTTTTTGTGAGTAGGAAAAGCCCATCCCTCTGTTGCACAGCAAGTGACCCCCACTTTATCTGGTTGAAAGAATAAAAGTTTAAGGAAAGATTCCTGGGAAATGTCTTATTACTGCCATAGCCCTAGGCCTTGATAAGAACCCCATCAAGCTGATATACCCACACATACATACGTAACAGGTGGCCCTGCTCCCAGACAACCTGCTCACAAAGAGAAAGAGGTGTTTTCTCACAATATTTCGATGCTTTAAAGATTCTGCAGCTCCTGCTCAGTCTTCTCGCACAGTCAAACCTCTGCTCAGCAGCAGCTGCCCTGCTCCCGTCTGAACGGCCAGGCCACACTGCAACAACTTTGACTTGGAGGAAAGGAAACTGGGGGATGCTGCCTCATGGTCATCTGCCGTTTATCACACCCAGCATTGAAACTTTGGAGATTCCCTTAAGGAAATGAAGGATCCACCTCTGAATTTCTCTTCTGGTATCTGGCACCTCTGAGGAGAGTAGTTTTGTCATTAGGCTAATACATGTTCTGAGCAAGTCTGTGGAAGCTTTCCCACTTATTATAATTTACTCATAGGGACTCAACACTCTTGCAACTCTTCTGCAAATAAATACCCTCTGCAAGAGGCAAAAGAATCAGGGTTTCTTTCTCCTCTTTCATTCTATGTCTGGCCCATTTTAGGCAGAAGGCAAGAGCTTCAGCAGGAAACCAAATGCTAGAGAACGTTTTGCCTCAACTGTGGAGTACCTGTATCCAACACCTGTGACTAGCCAGACTGAGCAGGAATCAAAAAAAGAGAAAGATTGCACTACTAATGCCCCAAATCACGGTGGGAGACACCAAAGCTGGACACGTAGATGAAAGACAGCCTCCCAGCACAGCAAGAGAATAGCAATCCCCTCCTCTACTCTGCAGCTAAGGCACTAGGAGACTTTTGTGAGAATTCAGGCTGAAAGTTGCGTGGTGGCTGTCTTGGTGGCTCCTCATACCTTTGCTGGACTCT